ATTCCTGCATCCCATAGACGTCCTTGATGAGAACAACAACAGCAAACCACAAAGCACATGTTGAGTGAAAAGTGGTATTAAAATGCTAAAAATCATTTTAAAATTAGAAGTAAAGGCAAAACTTTTAACTTAGTTTTTTGTTTTTGTTTTTGTTTTTTTAAACCAGGCAAACTGGTTTTCACTAATTACAATATAAAATTTAACCAGTCCCAGATGTTTTTGGAAGTTCCTAACGGAGTAACATAAAAACTTCATAAAATTTAGTTTTGGGTAAAACTTAGTGTTAGATAAAATCTTTTATCTATGAGGTAGATAAGACCAAGGAGAATGATCTTAATGTGTGTTTAATGTGTATCTTAATTAAGACTAGAAAAACGAGCAAAGAAAAACAAACCAGTTAACTGTAAATGAGTAACGCATTGCCTTATAATGCTGTATATGCCATCCTTAAGAGATAGTGGACATTTTTGGTCTAAGTATTCACATCTGCCAATGGTAGAAGCCTTGCAAAATCAATGAGAGAACGATTGGCAAAGCCATGTGCTGACTTTTATAAATTATTGGGTGGTATTGATAATTTGTGCTTCTCAAATGTGTGGTTCTTTTGGAAATGATTTAAAATCCTTCATATATATAGTGATACATAGACATATATAATGATTTTGAATAATAATACCATAAAGTTATAAGGGATTTAACAGTTTACAAGGAACTTTGAGGCATCCTCTTTGATTTTTATGGTAAGCAGGCCAAGTCATACAAATTCTGTTCTAGGGATGGAGAAGCTGAGACCCAGAGAAATTGTGTTGTCTCGCTGGGAAGTAAGTGCCAGAGTTGGAACTGGCTTCCAAAGTGTTCTGACTCTTTTCTTCTATGCTGCTGTTAAAATTATAGCTGCAAACCCCTCTGAACTATTTGAGAATTATTAACACATTTATGGAATAAATGGCGTCTTTGGGTCCAATATACAGATTGTCCAACGGAAATCATCTTCGTGGTACTATCAAAGGCAATACTGAATTTTCAGTAAGTTGAATTTACTTAAACAAGGACTAGTTTTAATTAGTTTTATTGAAAGGAAAGAAAATTGGGTGATTACGTCTTTTGTCTGTCCTCTGGAAAGATTAGTTCTGATCCCATCTCAGAGTGTGCATGGGACCACTCAATTTAATAAACTCGTGTGAGGTAATTTTATATGATGCACTCTCTGTTGTGATTAACTCCTCCAAATACTTGGTTCTTCTTTGAAATTCTAATGTCGAGAATCAGTACACTCAGTTCAATAGTTCATCTTGTCATCTGTGAAAAGGACAAACCGTAATATGATAAGGTTTAAGGATTATCGCAGTTCTGAATTTAACTTTCTGTTCTTAGGAGAACAATTTCTTCATAAATGGGCAAAATAAAACTCATGTTACCCTGATCTCCAGGACACACAAAGAGAGTGATCCAACAATTTGAGTGTGTCTCTGTTTCTCGTTGAATAATCCTACCAGTTATCAAATGCTTAGAATAATAAACTGCTTCTAAAATCTTAGATTCCTTTATCATTGGCAAGCTAACAGTTCGGTTTTATATTTGCTTTCTTATTTAAATCATTTCACGTTTTCTGAGAATAACAGCTAAATTTATGGTGTGTTGTTTCACAGCGTGTCTGGTATTTGTGTGGCAGGACATGGAGACATGGAGATGATTGTCATGAAGGAAGAAGTTTATAGAAATAGGGGCCACGACATGCCATGCAGGGGGGCACGTGGTGAGGCTCCAGGGTTAGGGGCAGGAAGAGAGGCGAAAACGTGGGCAGCAGCCTTTACTGCCATTTGCCCGGGAAAGGGAAGGCAAGGCAGACTATGCAGACTCAGGAGTGGCTAGTTGGGTTAATTTCAGCAGACCCTAGAGCACAGACACTGGCCCTGGTTGCCTGGTGCCGGACCCCATGGTGATGAGGCCACAGGGACATCCCCTTGATGGCAAGAGCTGGACAGTGGGAGGCCTGGGTTTGGGATTGTGGGGTTTGCATGTGGGAGACACACTCTCTGGGGAGTTGTTTGCTATCTCTAGGAATTAGCTAACCCTGGGACGGGCAGTCCCTTCCTGGTCAAGGAGGCCCCAGATGCCAGAGCATCAAGAATACCGAAAATAAGAAATTAGAGTCGACTCATGAGTAAGCTTTGTTCTGTTGAGCTTATGATTTTTCTAGGGGGGAGTATTTTTGACTCTGTAGGTAAGAATCAGTATTGCTGTTGACCTCATCTCTTATTTAGCAAATAAGCTTATAGTCTAGAATTTGATGCTACAAGAAATGAAAAAATGAGTAAGTCATAGCCATGACTGACTTACGAGCTTACCAAAAATAAGACGTTTATCCTGATAAGGACAAATAATGCAATAAGTGCTATGTGATTTATTTAAAAGGAGTTTTAATCACAGGGATAGACAAATAGACTAAGGGAATGGAGTATAAAATACATACTGGATCCACACAGGCACGGAGTCCTGATACACGAAAGAGACAGCATTCCAGGTCTGACAAGGGAAGAATGGACTGCCCCCACAAAGGCCTGCAGGACAATATTTAGCCACAGGGCAGAAAATGGGACAGATTCCCTACCTCCCACCTTGCCCACAGCCAGGTCCCTATGGATAAAATACTTAAATGTGAAAAGGAAAACTTAAGAACTTTTGGAAGAAAATATCCTCTAAAAATATGTCTAAGACCTTGGGGTAGGGAAGGCTTTCTTAAATGGGATGAAAAAAAAAAAAAGCTAACCGTAAGAAACGTGTCAGTCATTAATTCAACTTCAGCATAAGGAAAGCTTTCTTTTCATTGTCAGAGAAACTTTAAGAACTCAGGGTTAGCAGAACGCTGCAGAGTAAGGGCCAGCTCTGGTGCTCCTTCCAGTTGCCTGTCAAATCGCTGATACGTTTTAAGATAAAGTTCAGTAAGGAGTGGTTTTCAGCATTCTGCTTTAGTTGGGGAAGGGTCAGTGGTGTCCCCCCCCTCCCCGTTGCAACGTAAGCTTCAGGGGCGGGATTGTCGTTGGTCATTGGTCACTGGTCATGTTCACAGCTGATTCTTGGCTCCCAGGACAGTACATAGCAGGAGAGGAATAGTCAGTAAATACTTGAATCAGTGAATGAATAGCTTTAAGATGCAGGCTGTTGTTTGATTTAGCTAAAAACAGCAATGAAATTTTAACCTTTTTTGGTAATAAAAAATATGCACGATTGCGTTTCCAAGTCTCTGTTGTTTAATATATTTATCACAGCCCTGCCTCTAGATGTTGTTATCGAAATCCTTTGACCATTTCTGCTTTTAATTATAACTTCTGCTTTTAATAATCACTGTTACCTGCCACCAAAACCATTCACAGGAATGGTCTGTCAGCATCCTCTGCCGTTGCAGACACTTTTGGCATTTCCACCAGGCTTTGATCTATTTTGAAAACATAAAACTTTCTAAAGAAAAATAACGAGAAGTACCGTGGGGTTGCTTGCTCTCCTTTGTAATCTTTAACATGAATGTTGCGTGTACCTGGGAAGCAGATGAGGAAGGAGAAAGAGGGTCAGGCCGCAGTGACGGTCAGCAGAGCACCAACCTGTGTCTTCTCCGCTTTTAATCAAAAGACTAGGCCTAATTTTTCTGGTCCCAGAATTAAGGTGTTTCTGTTGAGCCTTTGGGTTTGTGCCTTTGGTTAAGTTTTCAACTCAAAAGGGAAAATCATTGGGCTTCCCTGGTGGCGCAGTGGTTGAGAGTCCGCCTGCCGTGCAGGGGACACGGGTTCGTGCCCCGGTCCGGGAAGATCCCACATGCCGCGGAGTGGCTGGGCCCGTGCGCCATGGCCGCTGAGCCTGCGCCTCCGGAGACTGCTCCGCAACGGGAGAGGCCACAACAGTGAGAGGCCCGCGTACGGCAAAAAAAAGAAAAAAAGAAAAAAAGGGAAAATCATTTCCAAAGCACCAGCTATGTTTCATCAATCCTCCACCAAACCTACACGAGACTGTTGCTGTGTGAAGTCGCCCTTGGGTCCTAAGTGCCTGTTTTACTGATTACCAAGACTTATCTCATGGCTAAAATCCTTTGCATATTTGCAAAGTTCTGAACGTTAGATTGCTCCTGTATTAAAGTCCTGTATGTGTTGGGAGAAAGATGATATAACTTTTATTTGTTTGCAAGACTTCCTACTTTAACAACAACAAAAAAAATGTTAATGTCTCTATAGCATTTAATAATAATGGAACAAAAAGATGCTAGGCTAGCATACTAGGTTGCTCATGAAAAAGAAAATGAACTAAGTGTTTGGTGTTTTTAAGGTGAACATGAAATTTTCAGAAATCTCTCAAATCCCGATTCTTAATTAAGTGCTGCTTTACTGAGGAACCATCTACATGCAAAATGTCAGCATCTGTTCTGTTACTTATGCCATGAGTGGAATAATTTTGGGTAAAAACATTTCAACTCATTAAAAAAAATTTTTCACAGTAATATTGAGCATGCAGTCGTTTCAAATACCTCGAAAAGACTCCCTGTATTTTGATAATGTGATGGGGGATGCTACCTAGAATTTTATCGCTGAGGAATACATTTTTCTGAGAGCAAAGCAGTATTGAAACAGATTCTTTTTTTGGAGGGGGGGATCCTTCCATAACTGAGAATGTGTTTGCTGGCAGGTAGCAGGGAGGTGTAGGTGATAAGACACCTGAACTCTGTTTACTTGGAGCTGTCACTCAAGGGAAGTCCCAGCCTGACTAGAAGGCTGGAGGCTAATCTCCACCTCAGATGGCTGCATTTTGGGGGTGATGGTTGGGGATGGAGCAAAGCTCTAAGTCACTGAGTTCCCTTACTTTTTTTACCCCTCAAGGAATTAAAGACTCATGGATGAGAATTTTTCTCATTCTTCTTGAGAAAAATAAATGCCGTATCATGCTGCTTGTTCACTTGGGAGCTTAGGTTGGTTTGTAAGGTTCATTTGAAGCTTCAGCAAACTTTCTTGGACTGTCAGATGCTTGATACTGCATGCATTTTACAGAGTAAATGTGAGGAGGTCGAGCCTGTCTTCTGAGGTTTTGTAAAAGTCAGTCTGAGAGCCCAGAAGGCCCGTAATTAGGCTTTTGCTGTCTATGCAGGCACACTGTGTGGGATTACGGCTTGGATTATCTCTGTCACCTCCGTTGATTGTATGATGTGGGAAATACAGATGTGTTTTGCTCTAAGAAGGAACAGTGCTCCTGGATTTGGGAAGATCTGTCCATGATAACATGTACCATCCGTATTAAATCCTGTTTCAGGGTCTTGGCATCTTTCCATAACGAATATATTGATAATAAGCTGTCAGCAGCTGTCTCGGGCACAGTGTGGGAAGCGCACGGAGCCCGCCCTGGATTTGCACTGGCCCCTCCTCCACCCACTCCTCCTGGTCCTTGCCGGCTCTGCTCATCGCTCTGCTTGAGCTCCTCGCATCCGTAGACTATGCTCCCATTTCTATGGTTAGGCCCCAGCAATATACGCACCCAAGATGATGCTCAGCGGTGGTTAATGGTTGCCACCGTGTCTGGGTGGGACACAGCTCTTTAAACCCCCTCCAAAGATTCAGAAGAGAAGCAAAGCAGAGGTGACTTAAACGGAAAGCCAAAAGTAAGATGTGAGAGATAAAAATCAAATAAATCAGCAACTACAATAAGACTAAACAATTTAACCTTGCAACTCAATTCAGAAACTCTTGGGTTAGGTTGAAGACATAAAATCCAGCCATATGATGTTGACCAGAGGTACCCCTAATACATAATGTACAGGGAGATCCTAAGTAAATAAATAAACACATTGATACATAGGAAGAAAGGCGGACCTGGGGTGTAGCTCTGTGTTTGTCAGTCACATAAACTTTAAAGCAGAAGTCATTTATTAGTGACCAGCAATAATTCTGAATTTATACGAACTTCATAGCCTCCAGATATATATGAGGCAAAATTTGACAGAATTGCTAGGAACTACTGATAAAACCATAATCATAGTAGGAAATGTTAATATCAGCTCTCATTAATAGATGAGTTAAACAGAAAAAATATTAAAATAGAGAAGATTTACACAATGCCATTAATCTTGATTGAATGTAGATCTATATGTATAAAATTTTTTGAACTTAATTTAAAAATACCTGAGATTTTTTTTTTTAAAGCACATGGAACATTTACAGAAATTGACCAGTTAGATCATTAAGCAAGCCTCAACAAATGTCCATGATTTGAAACTGTATTACATTCCACGGATATGATGAAATAAATTCAGAAGAACAAAAAGAAAAGAGAAAACGACATTAAGAAACTAAAACTGTAGCTTTGTAAAATAAATTAAGTCCAAAAACAAATCAAATTGTGAACTGGAAAATATTTCAAATTGACTACAGCGAAATGTAGCTGAGTACTGATATGGAGGAAAATATGTGGCCTTAGGTGTGTACGCTAGAAGTGAAAAACAGTAATTTATTCAGTGTCTTATTCAAAAAATTAGGAAAAGAATGGCAGCAGAATAATATACAGAAGTTGACAAAAAAGGAACTAATAAAGCTAAGTACATAACATATACTAGAAAGCAATAGAGAAAACAAAGACCACTCTTTAAAAACATGAATAAAATAGACAAATAGGCAAGATAGATCAAGGAAAAAATATTGGGAGTGAAAAAGGGAGCAGAGCTACAAAAACAATATAAAATTAAAAAATAATACAATAGGTTAATTCTAATAGAGTTATTTAAAATTCAGAGGACAATTCCTAGCTTTACTGAAGCTTCAAATAAAAGAGAAACTGTCTTTGAAACTCTCCAGAGTTAATAATTTTTCACCCCCCAAAATTTCAAGAATTGGAACGCTGCTGACTCTAAAATTACAAAGGAAACTACAGGAAAGTGAGCACTTTTCCAACACAGAATTCTGTACCCAGCCAAACTATGAATTACAAGTCAGGGACCCAAGACTTTCAGACATGAGGACGTGCGCCTTCCTCAGGCAGCCACAGGAAGACGTGGTCCACTAAAAGCGAGAAGCAAGCAGAGAAATAACGTGTGCCATTTGTGATTCTGGTCTCACAAACAAGAAATGTAAACGTGTTCACACAAAAGCCTGTATGCAATTGTAGCTTTATTTATAATCACCAAAACCAGGAAACTCTCCAGTGTCCTTCATCAGGTCAGTGGATAAACTATGATACCTGTGGATACACAACCCCATGGATGAATCTCTCAAATAAACGCATTATGCTAAGTGAAAGGAACCAGACAGAAAGGCTGCTTACTATAGGATTCCATTTATCGGACATTCTGGAAACTGCAGAATGTAGGGACCCTGTAGGGACAAAAAACGGCAGTAGTTGTCTGGAACAGAGGTTCGGGGAGGGGACTGACTGTGAAGGGACACTTGTGGAGTGAAGGGGCTATTTCGTATCAATTATGGTGGCAGTGTGTGGTGACAGTTACACCATCGTATACCTTTCTTACAAGCCCTTGAATCCAAGAAGGGTAAAATTTATTATAAGCAAATTATACCCCCCCCCCATAAACCTGAGTGAATAGTAACAGCCACCACAAATGTCACTCCAGCCATGAGGCCTCCCCAGCCACCTTTTTTCATGGCCCTGTTCCCTACCTATCCTGCTCAAGTTCTTCTCCCCACCCCCCTGCTGCTTTATAAAGCCCTTCACAGGGTCTCCAGGAACTGTTTTGTCATCTCTGGGCTGTTGTCCTTTTAGTTGGAAAGGAGCAGAATCGTCTAACCTTTCCTCATGGAGCCCACTTTTCTGTCCTTCCAAGTTGTCAGCCATTTCACACTTCATCTTATTTTACTCTGAACACGTACATTTTCAAGCACAGGTAATTTGCATGACAGAAAAAAAAAGGCTGTAACAGTGAAGTCAAAATTGCACTTACAGGGTCAACACACATCTTTCCCCACAGATAGCAGCGAATGCCTTGCTGATGACTGTAGCATAATCGCTGGGGGGACCCTCACGGGTTGGCACCCAGACTCGGCCGCTGTGTTATGGCGAAGAATCTTGGGAATCCTCGGAGACGTGAATAACATCCAGTCACCCAAGATCCACGCCAGAGTGTTTGGCTCTCTCTGTGAACTCTGGTACAAGCTAGCGAAGGTAAGTCCTGCCGTCACCCTTCATTCTAATTCGGGAACATTGCTTTATCACTTGACATAAAAACTGTGTTACACATAACTTCTGAACAGCAGCTTAGATGTTGAGACAAAGTACGTTTGATGATCCAAGAATAAATAATAATACTTACAGTTTGGTCATTTTATAAATGCCTAAGAGTTATTTCATTTAATGTGCAAGTAGACTGTTACTATAGGATATTAAAGAATGGGATATTATACACTAGTTTTAGTTACTCTCTTTATCAAGTGATACTTGTTTTATTGTACAAAATTGGAAGAATGTAGAAAAATGCTAAGAAGACAATCTCACCATCCACAGAGAAAACCAATATTAAATATAATCTTATTTCTGTGCATAAACAGATTTTTATAAAAGTACTGTCTTAGAGTCCATACAATATTCATTCTGGTTTTTGTTTTTGTTTACAACATACATTTTCCCCATGTTAGTACTTTTTTTTTCCCCCCCCCAAAACACAGTTCGTGTTTATACAGTATAACCTGTGAAACCATTCCTTATCATTTGGAGTTCAGGGAGGCCTCTCCAGGCATTAAGATTGAAGGAAAAACAATGCCCTAGTTTTGTATTAGATCTAAAACCACCACACAGTTCAAAAAGACAGTAGACCTCATGATAAAAGAAACACTTGTAAATGTTGTAGCTTTTTACTCAACTTACAGAAATTTAATTGGGAGCAGCTGTTGGACCATGGAGCACGTTTCTGAAGTATCATTGGGATAAACTGTGTGTTGCCTTCCCTAAAAGTCTCCTCTTTGTGAATTAGATACGGGATAACCTAGCAATAAGCCTGGATAACCAGTCTTCTCCGTCTCCTCCTGCCTTGATCCCACCCCTCAGAATGTTTGCATCATGGCTATTTAAGGCAAGTGAATATGTGTTTATTCCTTTATTGTAATTTCCTCTTCCTTCCTAAATTGAGTTTAAAAAATGTAATTGCCCAAGACTGCATGTTTTGAAGACAGGCTGGATCTCACTCCAGCCAGCGCATCCCACATCTCCATAAACAACTTTATGGAAAACTGAAAAGTAAGTGAATGGACAAAATGCATCTGCATCTGGCGTTGATTAAATCTCTAAACGTCTCCTTGTCAGGCAACAACGCTGCCCGATGCATATAAAGAAGGCAAACTCCAAGCCTACAAGCTGATCTGCGCCATGATGACCCGACGCCAGGACGTGCTGCCCAACTCGGACTTCCTGGTGCATTTTTACCTCGTCATGCACCTGGGACTAACCAGCGAGGACCAGGTATCTGGGACTCTGCCATCGCGGTGGCCTGTCGCTCGGAAAGTGCATGTCACTCTTTGCAGGTGAAATTGGGGTTTATGAAAGTACCTCCAAAATGTTGAAGCCCTCATTAGTTCCGCGTCTTCTCTACCCAGCAGCACCAGCAGCCTTTCAGAAACGTGAGTCTGACTTGTCTCACCGGAGCTGCTCCTCCCCACTGCCTCTGCGTTTCACCAGCCAAATTCGAATTTTACCCCTTGGCCTGTCCAGTTCTGTATGATTTAACGTCTGCCTGTCGTCAGCGTCAAAAATACTTACCTCGCTCACTTTTTGTTGGGGTTCTACATTAGCTATTGTATGAAGAAAATGATTTTGGTCATTTAAAAATGTTCGAAAGCTACTGTTTTAGGAGTTAGGATGTTTTTGTGAACAGCCTCACCTATAGATTAGGGATCCTGACATCTCTTGATAAGGAGCTAATGTCTCTCAAAGAAGTGTGATTGGTAGTTAAGTTGAAACAGAAGGGCCACAGGAGCCACTAGCAATCAGCCTGTAGCCCTTGGCCTTCCTCCCTCTGAAAGCCCGCTGGTGGTGGACAGAGGGCCTGGACCGGCGGGAACGCTGACTTTTGACTTGCTGTCTGAATATCAAGCAGGCAAGTGAAGAGGTTGATTTGTGAAGCCTGAGGCTATTCTGGACACTATTTGGAGGATGGATTTAGAGATGTGACAGTGGTGGGATAGAGTAGGAGGTTGGGCCTGGAGGTTAATTAGGAAGTGATTAAACAGATACAGATTTTTCTTCAAATGGCGAGAACTAAGATGGTAGCACTGGAGATGGGAGGAAGGAAAGGGAAAGGTTTAAGAGGTTTGAAGGCATTTAATTTTATCGCTAAGTGTTCTTGACTGATTAGAGATTTGAGGAGTGTTTCAGAATTTACCCTTTAAATTGCAGATACTTACCAGTGAACTTGAATCATTCGTGAACTACCAAGTAGCCATCCTTTCTGTCTTTATTTGAGGCTTTGAATATATGATGCAGACACACGGACCTTTTGATACGTGTAAAAGGTCATTCTTTGGATTTGCCAGCCTTACCTTGGGCCCTGTTTAAAACTCCTGTAAAATATTCCCTGATAAACACTTCGAGCTTCAGTCACTGAGCTTTTCTTCTGAAGTAATAGCCATACTGTCCTACTGAGTTGTCTCTGTCATATTCGCTCCAGTTCCAGCAGTGTGCAATGGACATCTGGAGAGCAGAGACTGGACTTAGATGCACAGGCTCGTTTATTTCCTAAACAAATGTAGAAATAGAGACACATAAGTAGACCTGTTTGTACTCCTTGCTCAGATATTTTGCAGCCATCATTGCGGACGGAAGCATGTTTTACAGAATGATGCAACTCAGGGCATGTGGAAGATTAAGGGGTAGAAATAGGGAAGAGAATTAACTCACAGATAATAATGAGATCTCTCAGTGACAGAACCAAGAGAGGAAGGTTTAGTTAACAACGCCGTACTTTAAAGCAGTATTTTGCTAAGATTTGCAGGAAAAACGTCTACTTGGAAATGATAATCAACTGTAGAATCTTCTTATTTAATAAAAACGAATTTGAAGTCAGAATTGGGAGATTGGGATTGACATTATACACTAATATGTATAAAATAGATAACTAATAAGAACCTGCTGTATAAAAAATAAATTAAAAAAAAATTTGAAGTCAGCTGTAAACAGTTATTTCTAGAATGAGCTTTCCAGAAACTCACATAAGGAGGTGTGTTTAGAATCCTCTTTCTATTTTAAATTGTGTTGTAGTTAGTGAAAATGAAACAATAAAATGAGATGAAATCTGTATAACATTTGAGTACCCAAAACATTATTTCAAAAATGGGATTTGGGGACATCCCTGGCAGTCCACACTGGTTAAGATTTCGCCTTCCAATGCAGGGGGTGCGGGTTTGATCCCTGGTCGGGGAGCTAAGATCCCACATGCCTCACGGCCAAAAACCCAAAACTTAGAAAAAACAGAAGCAGTATTGTAACAAATTAAATAAAGACCTAAACATTTTTTTAATGGGATTTTACAGTGTAGAAAAAGGAGTTTTCAAATTTTATACTTAAAATAATTTTCACGTTTAATGTATCCCTTATTTTTGGTTAAGTTTGATCTTTTGTAGTTCATTGTAAAAGATGTCAATCTTAAATGATGGCCCATTGCTAGCAGTAATCCCAACATTCAGACTTCTAAAAGAAAACGGAGATATCATAAATCTCTATTTTATAATCAGCCTACTGTTTTCAACTTTAGAAGCTTGAGTTGTTATGCGTTTCATAGAATTGACTGTTTTGCTTTAACCTTAACAATTATTGGTATATGTTTTAGAAGCCCTGACTGTCTGCCAAACAGAATTACTCTAAATAAACTTTATTCCTTTGCCAGAAGAAAATTACACAGAAGGCTGTCTAATGAAAGAAACTTTTCTCATTTAAGTAAGAAATGTCTCCGGTAATTAGTTTAACTTTTGGTCCACATGTCTAAACAGGTCATGGTGGTTGCTCCAGAACTTACATGACTTCTGGAAACACATGTTATATTAATTATAAGAAAAGAAAGCATTTGCTCTAGAGAATAGAGTTAAATTCAATGTTTTTTTAGTTGACGCATTGTGCACCTGCGACTCGGACCATCTCAGGGCCGTTTCCATTTTGTGAGAGTTTTCAAAGAGCTACACTTCTACGTAGCCTGGCGCTAAAAGCCTTCGTTCCTGCAGAGAGAACCTTGTAAAAATGTTCCTTATTTTTTAATAAGTAATAGCAAATCATTTTTAGATTTTTAATATTTATAGTTTTGTCTTCCAACAAAATCCAAGGTGAATTTCCTCCTTTGGCCTCTGGATGGCACCCTTGTCTGCAGGACTCTCGGCTGCCTGGTTCATGGACCACACTGAGCCTTAGAACTGCTGGGAGACCCAGCGCTGTGGGAGCTCGGCGCTGTGGCCTGGCCGCTTTACAGATGCTTTCCTAGATCTGAGAGTAGCAAAATCATGCCAGTAGTGACTAATAAAGTGTTGAATTAGAAGTAAGATCTAAAATATGAAATATCTTTTTTCAAAACATAAGAGTGCTTATAGTAATGAAGATTTCTTCTCGTTAAAAAAAAAAATGTAAAACAGGTATGATTGTGTTGTGTTACAATCATATAAAATCACAATTTCATCTAATATAATAGCAACTTAATTATTTAAACAAATACAGTTATTTCGATATTTTAGAAAGTAATAATACGTATAGCAAACAGCCAGAATTCAAAATGTAGCATATTCCAAATGTCCATATTCAAAATGTAGCAAACCAACTGTTCTCAGTGTTGCTTGGACCAGTTTTTTTTTGTTTTGTTTTTTGTGGTACGTGGGCCTCTCACTGTTGTGGCCTCTCCCGTTGCGGAGCACAGGCTCCGGACGCACAGGCTCAGCGGCCATGGCTCACGGGCCCAGCCGCTCCACGGCGTGTGGGATACTCCCGAACCGGGGCACGAACCCGTGTCCCCTGCATCGGCAGGCGGACTCTCAACCACTGCGCCACCAGGGAAGCCCGATTGGACCAGTTCTAGCTATATTCCAATCACTCAACAATGTCATAGATAAAACAGGGGCCTTACCGAGTAGTATTTCCCACAGTACGTGTACAGTGGAAGTTTACAGTTTATTAGTATGATTGAGAAAACGCTTTGAAATAGCTTTATTCTTCCTTGACTATGAACTTTTAAAAATTTGATTCTGTTACTGATTTAGAAAATATTTAGGATCATAAAGACTTTCGGAAATAACTATAAATTATGAATAAGATTCAGGATGACGTGCAGGACTGCCCAGCCTGCCTGTGAAGGGGTCTTCCAGCTGGCTTCATTCTGTCCTGCTGCTTTGTGTCTGGGGTGGGGGGGGGGACTGGGCAGGGGGGGTGCACGGAGGGTCTTAATTTCCTCAGTACCCCAGTACCAGACTGTGTGCTGGGAACTCATGATGTTGTTCCATCAATTCTTCTCTGCAGTTCAGTTAGATAAATATCACAACCCGCTGTATAAATAGCTAAGGCTCAAAAGATATTGAGGACGTCTGCCCAGTGCCACACATAAAAAGGGCTGTGAGAATTCACAGGCAGCCCGGCTTATTCCACACGGTCTGCCTTGCCCATTGACTCACGCCGAACAGATAAGCTCACCTGACTCACATTGTGCAAACAAACAGGCCCTGGTCGTATTCCTTCTCTTTCTTGTCTCCCCTGGGCTATGGCCTCGGTCCTGCCCCACCTCCGAATCCTCCTTACCAGACTCTCGTCCCACGCCAGCCTGCAAACACCTTCCCCAGTGGCCCACCCGGCTCCCCACCGCCTTCTGCTTCTCTTCCAAAGCTGTTCCCGGTTTCTCCTAATACTTAAGCAGCTTTTTCACCTCAGTCTCCCCCAAAATATTTGGACATGAAAGGATTTGGATTTATTAAATACAGGTCCTATTAATTTCATCGTTATTTAAAACATATGGAAAGATCAATATGTGTGAAATGGAAAAGGACAGCTGAGGAAGGAAATTTTATTTTTATGTTTCTGAGAACATATATCAAAGACTGGAAAGTTTTCTTTGCTTAAAATAAGTAAACTATTTTTTAACAATGACTTACAGATTTAATGTCTTAATGCGATTTGTCTGTTAAATACATCAAAGTTAAATTCACTTTTAAGTGCAAAGTTTACATCAATGCAAAATTATTGTTGCAAATTTGCATATAGAAATTTTGGGAAATGTGGGTCTATGTCGTTTTCATCTATGATGTTGTATTACTGTGTCTTGCAACAAACCAAAAAGCCCGAGGCCTCTCTCAGGTGGGGAAAAAGGTTTTGTTCCACCCCGAGGTGACCATCCAGCTACAGACTTGAGCCCTCACCATGTGAAGTCACGATACTGTCAGGTGAGAGTTAAGAGCGTGGGCTTCCAGAGATAAACCCATGCACCTATGGTCAACTAATCT